TTAGGTCCACAAGAATATAAGGTCGTTTTAAAAATGATATCATCTTATACTATCTTAGTTACACGATTAGTTCTCTAAAAAAATAGGTACCTACTTGAGTCTTCCTGGAACGATTTGTTCACGTACCTATGCGCTAATTATTGTAGTGCAGCCTATATTTAAACATAGGTACGTATTTTTTSGCTGGGTTCTTTTTTTTCGCTTTTCATTTTAACTGGTCTCGCGATCGAGTAACCGAGTACACGAGGGGCGACTTCGCTCTCCCCATTCCATATCATCGCACATGCCACATAGACAAATCCTCTYTTGGACTKTATTTGTTTATTAGTATAGTGTATTGGCACTATATGAGCCATGTTTTGATCTTGCTTAAGGTACAATAGAGATATCACTGAGTTGTAAATTTGTATACTATAGAATTTAAATTAAATTTTTWTTTACTCATAAAATAAGTGGGTGCCTATAGTTGGTAATTGTCAATTTATTTAGTATCACTTTGGATTACTATGTCGCTATGACATCCACATAATAGTGTCTCTCGATTTAAAAATCATGACTGAAATATGCTCTAAGAATGTCTATGCACCACACTGACTTTAACGCTGCAATTACCTACGTGTAACTACCTAAAGTGTCGCTGCTGTAGGCTGTAGTTTTATATAATAACTACGGTTAGGTATTTTACTTACGTTGCAATCTGTTCGTAATCAAAGAAGAAGTCAGCCTTGGCTGCGTAATGGCCCCGGGACAGCGAGTGTTTGCTATCATTTTTGATGTACTTATCCGCAAGTTCGTTCGATCTGAGTATTTTCGCCACCGTTTGTTTCTAAGTCGACAATTATTTTTAGTTAGGTATAATAAATCATTATAATATCGTGTTGACGTGTAATATATTTATGTTATAATAATTTTTAAATATTTGATGGAATAATAATWATTATTTTTATTATAGGTAGATATTAGGTAACCATTGACCAAGATCATTCTTGGTGACTTTAAAATGATCTTCAAACTTATATCATGCAAATTATATTGAAAATTAAAATATTCATGCTCACAATGTTTAAAAAAAAAATGAATAGTAAGAATAATATGTATTAGAATCGTATTATAGATTTATATTTGCATACAAATGCTTGGTAARWGGTATCAATTTTTTTATAATATTAGACACATAATATGAAGGTAGTATAGGTATATATTCTGTTCTTAAAATATTTGTATAAATGTGATATAACATATAAAACAATTTAAACGGCATCGTTAATGGCAAAATCATAAGATATTAAATTTTATCAYCTACATTATTGTATATTTGTATACGATATAATGCAAATGAAAAATTTTTCATGCAGCCGATCGTTATCGTTTATCTCGGGCTGATAATATTTTAATGGTGTCTGAGCCGAATGTTATTAATAAGAGAAGTGCTGTAAATAGTTATTCACGTACCTACACGTGCATTGCAATCATATAGGTGTGCACAGGAGGGATTCTGGGCATCGCCTTCAGAGTTGTCATAATCACATAGTTTTTAGTTGTAATTTTTTTTTTTTTTTTGATCAGAATCATAAACTGCTAACACTTAGATAGTCCATAGACTCGCGTAGTATCTTATTTTATGATTAGAATTTGAATATCTTGATTTTTTTTTCTTTCTTTTTCTTATGAAAATATTGGGTGTCAAGAGGAAATGAAAATATATTAATAATTAGATTTTATTATTTTTATTTTCATTTAGATTCATGGGCGGATAGGCAATTTTTGGCCTATTTGGCCGAAATACGAAGGGGAGGGGCCCACCAGGAAATGCCCGGTTGCCCGGTAGCCCTATCCGCCTATGTTTAGATTCTTATATTGGCTGCGTACGAGTTGATTCCCGGGTAATTATATATTTTTTTCAATGTTTAGTAAAATATTTAGCCTATTAGCATAACCCAAGAAACACCACGAGGAGGTTGGCCGACAAGTTTCTCAAAAATTTTGTTTTTTTTTTTTTAGTTTTTTCATATTTCGAAAATCATTCAATTTTTATTTATTAATTATGTTTTTGTATTATATTATATTATATTTATAATTTATTAAAAAAATTATKAAAAACATTTAGTAATTAGGTAAAAAACTACAAAAAAGTTTAGTAATTTAGTAAAAAATATAATTTTTTTTAGTAATTTGGTAAAAATGTCTATCACATTGTTCTTATAAATTGGTATCTACAGATAATGAGGTTATACAACAATATAGGGAATCAAATCATACCTACCTCTTAATGACCCGGGAATCAACTCGTATACATACCTAATAATGACCTGGGAATCAACTAATACATAAAATATAGGTCTCGGGAATCAAGTCACATAATATCGCGCTTATATTTGCATTATGAAATGAGTTAGGTATTTTATATCGATAGGTTTTGGGGAGTTATTTTCTTGTATTTGGTTAGGTAGGTATATTATGTCAACACATCACCGGCGTACACTGCGAAAGAAATCTGCGAACTCCTATGAATTTACGATTATAGGCCTACGGAAAGATGAAATGAAACCATTTTTTGAATGATCAAAAACGAATTTACAGGGAAAACGATCACGTGGCTCGTAGACCCATTTAGAACGGTCTGATTTTGATCGTTAACATTGTTTCAGATCTGCAGAAAGTGCACCGCGCCCGACGCCTYTATAAATTCCGCAGGTCTGCAGCTGCAGTTTTCTTATTATTACCTGTTCTTTGAAAGTGTATTTCTTGTTCACGTCCGTGTTGCCGTACAGCTCTCTGGATTTGCTGAAAGACGGTCGCTTGCTGTATATCTGATGGTTGTCGTAGTACGGCGAACGGGCGTCATACCAAGTGTACAGGCTGTTCTTGGTCGACTTGTCGAAGCATATGCCGTACAGCCGGAGGAACGCGAAATCCGTCCGGAAACCGACCACGGCCACGGTGTAGTTGGCCGGCTGGCATTTTTCGTCGGTGACTCGGAGCTCCGACTTGGGCATGTCGTCGCACTGGAAGTACGCGTACCGGTACGTATGGCCCTTGTACATGAGCACGTCGCCGCCGACGCACGTGACCAACACATCGGAGAAATCGCCATTCCGCAGTTCGCTGGCCGCGAAATTGGAGGTGGCGCACGACAACATGAAACTGCGCCCTCTGCCCACGTCCAGCCTGCCCTTCGCGTTCGGATAGATGATCGAGTAGTGTTTGCCGTTCGTCATGAACGGTATGGGCATTTTAGGTTGGTCTTTTTCGGCCACCCATAGCGAACAGTCGTCCTCGTTTTCATCTATAATAATATTATCGGTCAGTGGCGTAATTTGGAATTGGTTCTGGAGTGAATACTATCATTCAAGTTGAGGGGGGGGGGGTTATGACCCCCCACACAATRTTTGACCATTAAATTTCATGGATTGTAGTATTATATTGATTTGTTATTAAAAATATAAATTAGGTAAATGGTATAATTATAATGGTTTTCAAAGTATTATTATGTCTCTATACTAATAATTATACTCGTAGTTTTAAACTAGTTGAAAAACATATGTTTAATTTCTGTTATGATAATGTCCATGAATYCTTATTTCTTGTTTTAAAATCTTAAAATCTTTTAAAACCAATTTCTTTAGGGAATTTAATTATCGGCTAGGCCATATCCCTCGCAAATAATAATTAAACAAAAGTAAAATAAAAATATAACAACGACCAAACTATTGTAATTTGGTGAAAAATACTTTAACCATTGTTTTGCTTAAAACTCGTAGACAATTTTTTTCCGTGTTTTAATACGATTTGGAAATAGCACGAAAAAGTGTGCAGTGCAAGTGGGGTATACCTAACCTATACGTCCTTGTATCATGAAAAAAAGCGCGCCTAGTCGAATCGAAATGAAGAACACACATTTTATTCTTACACTGTCGTTCCGCCGAGCTGGTGATAATTTTTTTATCGTTTATCGAACAACTATTATCGGCAATTGTCACACTTTACCGATTACCGGTACATAAACAATTCCCACAATTTTAGTTACACTATATAATTTCAATATTCGATGTTTATCGTATACGTGTAAACCTGCTGTAACTACACGGTTTTCAGCATAATATTATTATCGTTTAGTGTTTATACGTTTTGACGTACCTATAATCGTAGTAGGTAATAACGGCCAAACACTGCAGCCAGCCCAGCCCCGTTAGTTAATCTTAATTTATTTCAAACGTATTGATATCGATGTTTTTCATRTTCATAGAATGTATATATTATACCACGCGTAGTACCTACGTATCATGGCCACTTGTTTTTTTTTATGCGTAAGACAATAACTGCAGAAATACATCTTATACCTATAGACACGAATGCAACAGGAACTTATCCCCTTCGATCCAATTCACGGTATATACCTAATTATATTATGCATATTGTATTTATGATATTGCCGCTCTGTAGRTATTATTATTGTTATGCGATTATCGAGTTACGGTTTAAATATTACTCATATCGAACGAATTAAAATTTATTTCTTGGTATGCATATTATAATATACGCGTATATCGGATGAATCATTAAAACGTTCTAGAAAACAGCAAGTCAAACAATAATAAATACATATTAATATTATACATTATTCGTATGAACCTGCGTCGCGGCGGCGGCACTATTTGTAAACGAGCTACCTAATAAAGCTTTTAATCACTAACCTAACCTAACCTAACCCGCTGCATGGGCTTGGTTCAATCGCGAACCTTTGTCGGAAACCGCCGTTACCTATTTATGATAATTTGATGCAATGTCGTGTTATATATTATTTGAGGTCATCATCTTATATGTGTATAGCCRACGAGCAGGTGCTAGAAAGGTAACGCGTTCAATGTTCATATATGTTGTTGAAAATCGATGTGAAATCTGTGCGTAAGGTTTATAAGTATGTAATATATAGGCACAGCAAYGCGCATGAGTATAAGTACCTATAATAATGGTAGGTATTGTAAATCTAYAGAAATAGAAAATTATGCATTTATATGTTATGCATTAGTATTTATTCGTTAATAACGGACAAAATGACGRACTATGAGTTCTCATAGAAGTTTTACCGCGTAAACCATCGATTAAAACTGGTAATTATATGCATTAAAGTATTAAACACGTCATATATTAATAGATACAGCATATAATTATAGTATAAGTTTAAGTAGTAAAAGTACTTATATATTATTTTGCATATCTGTCCTCGTAGCTATAATACAGGTATTGTATTTAGTATAAATATTAGTTATTACATTTTATCTACATCATATATTCCTATTATTAGTTTTGATATTGACTATTGAGCTTTAAACTGTTGGTCAAACGCTTCTTAAGTAGTTTTGGGAAATTTCGGGAAAATTATTTTTTTCGAATCCTATAAAAGCCGATTCTCTCAATAATTTAATGTTATTATAAACTATTACCTCCTTGAAACGAGATTAATTTCTTAAATTTTCTTACGCTTTAGTTTTTTTGATCGTGTATATACGACTTCTTCAGCTTCCTTTTTGACAKCAGTTCTAAACACTGAAAAGCTAAATTATGATCTGTAGTAGGTTCGTGATTATCTATATAGATATTATTATTATTCCGTCCGCGGGACAAAAACGGCTAAGAATCGCGCAGAATTGGCAAGAGCGCAGAGGGCAGTCGCACTCCGCATAACATACGTGCCTACAGGACAGTYTCGGCCGACGCTTCGTCAGTATTGGCCTCAATGCTACCTGCAGACCTGCTAGCAACAGAAAGGGCTAGAGTTCGGGTTCGCCTGGACGACCAGACTGACGTCGTCCCGAACACCGTTAAAAAC